TGATATATTAGACATGTTAGTTATATTTTCTATGTATTTTATTTTATATAAATAAGTAGCTTTTTAGTTCATGTAAAAAGGGGAGACAGATTGGAATTTGACAAGATAGTTTTAGTAGTTTTAGAGGCAACTGGCCTACTGCGTCACCTTTTTGCTTTAGTAGTTCGATTCTTTTCTTTCTTATTTTTTTCTTCTTTATTTTTTTTTACTTTTCTTTCTTTATCTTTATCATTATTTTACTCGTGAATAAACACATTATTTATAAACACAATTTACTGGCAATCTGTTGAATCGTAACTCGTTGTGATAATATAAATACTTTGATAAATCATCTGAGTTAAAGCTTGTAAACTATTAAAAGGTTACTGCTCAATTAAAAAGAATAAATCACTCAAACACCTCGTCTAATAGTCGTAGTTTACGAGAATTACACGTTAATAATACTTCTTCAAGTATAATGAAAATTAACTTTTGAATACTTTCATATCCATTAAATGACTTGATTTATTTAACAAAAGTTAATTTTATTTGACCAAAGTGTTTAAATTATGTGACAAAGTATCTACACAAAAATATAACAAAAATAAGTATAACTTTATAAGTATTTGAACTAACTTGATGAAAATTAATATTTGAATAGTCTCATATGCAAAAGTATCAATCTTGATAGATTTTTGATATGCTTTTTTATAGATATTATTGTGAAACTGAAGTGTAGTATATTTCTTGATACTAAAAATAAATATTATCATATTTTATTATTAATCACACGAGTTGATATTTTTACAATTTTTTTTAAAACTTTACTTTTTTAAAAATTTTATAAGCTACTGGTTTATTATATAGTTATATTTATTTTTTTATATTTTTACAGAAATACGCGTATAATATTATATTTTACTATTATTATATTTAGAAATTTATTTTTTATTTAAATTTATATACTTTGAAACTCCTTTTGTACAATTTTTCACTAATTACTTTGTAATAAAAAATGGAATAAACATAGCATATGATCTAAAATTAATAATATGTTTATGGGACTATCAAGAAAAATATACCAAAGTATCTGCATAAAAATATAACAAAAAATAAGTATAACTTTATAAGTATTTGAACTAACTTGATGAAAATTAATATTTGAATAGTCTCATACATAAAAGTATCAATCTTGATAAATTTTCGGTATGCTTCTTGATAGATATTATTGTGAAACTGAAGTGTGATATATTTTTCTTGATAGCACCATAAATATATTACCAATTTTGGATCATATGCTATGTCTATCACATTTTTTATTACAAAGTAATTAGTGAAAAATTGTACAAAAGGAGTTTCAAAGTATACAATTTTAAATAAAAAATAAATTTTTAAATATAATAATAGTAAAATATAATATTATACGTGTGTTTCTACAAAAATATAAAAAAATAAATATAATTATATAATAAACCAGTAGCTTATAAAATTTTAAAAAAGTAAAGTTTTAAAAAAATTGTAAAAATATCAACTCGTGTGATTAATAATAGAATATGATAATATTTATTTTTAGTACCAAGAAATATACCACACTTCAGTTTCACAATGATACCTATCAAGAAGCAAACCAAAAATCTATCAAAATTAATACTTTTGCGTCTTATACCTATAGAATAACTTTATTTAGTCTTCAAGAACACATTTTCTTTAGATAAGTTGTTGTATATATTATAAGGTTAAAAAACAAGCGCAGTACAGTTATTTTTTTTTGCAGAAATCTTCTGTAAACCTTAAGTATTTTTAGTTTAAGTATGATATCTTCTTCATCCATGTGACGTTATCCGTCAGACAGATGATTAATTTTATTTATAAATACAGATTCTATCAAACTTAGAAGATTAAAAAATAACTATACCGTACACTAGATCATTTTAATGACTAATAATGCACTGGCCGTTTTGCACTGAACATAATATTTGCTCTACAAAAGACTTAAAAAGACTCACTAAAGATATCACAGAGACGTGTGAAGCCTATTATACCTGTTTAACTACTAACAAATATGGCTCAACATATTTGGATCCAGTGAAGTGCAAGGCTAGAAACTTTGATCTAATAAAGTAAGTAATTTTATTGATACTTCCTATTCAAGTCACTTTACTAACATTAACCTTTTTATATAGAGCAACTAAAGAACAAAAGAAAGAATCCTTTTGGCTTTAAAAAGATTTAAAAAAATCTCAAAAGAAAAAGGATATTGTGCTGTAGTGAAAGAAGCGGTTGATGCTTACAAATTTAATGATACTTTGTATATTTGCATATTATTTTACGTAGTGTAATTATAGACTCATATGAATACTTTATGTCATCTCTTTTTAGACTGAAGCTATTCCTAAACAAACTAAATCCAGAAGTTCTAACCTCAGGTATTATGTTTGTAGAGATGAATAATCAGTAAAATTCTCATGTAATGTTTGAAGATAGAGTTAGAGGAAGCAATTTTTTGACATATCATATATAATAAATTGTATTCTTAAAATGAATTCATTTTAGGCAAAGCAAATTTATCAAATGTGATTCATAAAGCAGTTTCAGAGAGTATTGAGAAGCAATCAAGAATATTTATTTAGAATTATTTTCATGAAGTAATAGAACATTTTGTTAATTCTTTTGCAATTTTACAGCCAATCTATTCTTCAATTAATAAAACGTTTAAACTTATTTGCCATTAAATCAAACTTTATAATGATGATGTTGAAGTTATTTCCATTAAAGTAACTAAAGAAGCTATTTTTCTAGAAGTAGAAGAAAACGTAGAGGGAGAATTGATTCACTATGAATTTGAATATGAGAATGATGTAGTTCCGTTCTTACAATAATTATCTATGTATATATTCATATACATAAACTATTTTTACATATACAATACATCTACCTTTTTCAAAAAAAATTTTCAATGACAAAATAATTAGATAGATTTTTCATGATTTTGTATCTTTCTCATTTATGTTTTCCTGTGTGCAGTTTTCGCAATTATTAAACAATAATATTTAAGAAGGAAATTGACAATGTCATCAATTTGTCATTCAAATGTAAAAATTAATGATGAAATCGACCCTAGGTTTACAAGATAAAAATCGTTTTCTGCGCCACATAATTAAATACATTCTTTTGCATAAAACTCTGCATAAACCTTTAAGAAAAACATTTCCAGAATGATTCCCTTTACGAGAAAACGTTTCTGAAGGTATTTTTTTAAAGAAAATCACTTCAAAGCGATTTCCTTTAAGGGAATCATTTATGTGGCTTTTCCTTTAAAGGAATCATACCCAGAGACGTTTCCTTTGATAGAACTACTTTCAGAATCATTTTATTACCTTTGAAATAAATCGCTTCTAGAGGTATTTTCATTGAAGAAAATAGTCTCTGTAGCTTATCTCTTAAAGAGAATGCATCTCAGTGATTTTTTTTAAAAGAAAAAATCTAAATTTTATCAATAATTTTCTAAAAAAATTTATTATTTTATTTTTTAAAAAACTATTCTAAATTTAATTATGTTACCAAAGCAATCAAGATATTCAATTAAATGTCAATTTTAACAATAAACAAATCTTTTTACTCATAAAAAGAGAACTTTTGGTATTTATCAATATTTTAAATTAGATTCTTCAATAAATTGTTAGAATGAAATTATTGTAGTAACTGAAAACTTCTCATGACTAATATTTGAAATAGAAGAGTCTTCGGAATATTCTTTATTCATGATATAGTATTAAATATAAAAAAATAAAAAGATTATAGTCAAGATAAGCGAAGAGATGTAAAATCAAATCAGGAATAACATCAGGAAATGATAATTATTACAATTAAAACACGTGTTTACATTAAAAACATGTGACTTATATAGACTGGCATTTGCGATAAATTATAAATTATTAAAAATTATTTTTTTAAAATAGAATAAATTATTACAAGATGTATAATTAATTTAAATATTATATAAAAGAGAAATTGTATGTGAAAATAATATTAAAAGCAATGATTATGTTGAATATAATAAATGTATTAATTACTATTCACCTTATATATTTGATAAAATACATAATATCAGATATCATAATGCTTAAAACTTTATTCCTTTTTGATGAGTTCTTTTAATAAAAGGATTACACAAACAATACAATAATTGATATATTTTATATAAAATATAATAGGAAATTTTTAATTAAAAAGTACAGAAGTATGCATTTCGCACTTATATAATATGGTAAAAGGTAGTTATATCATCACTAAAACTAAAAACACTAAAGTAATTTTGTTTCTTTCATTTGGGTTTGTTGTTATTATCAAGTATAGTTGTTTCAGTGTGTTAAAATTGTCTTTTTATCTTTAACTAAGCGCTCTTAAAATTGCACATTGAATAAAAAGAAATCTAGTGCGATAGGATCAGAAATATTTTGAGAAATTTGGACGGAAAGTCGCAAATCATGATATAGACAGCTTCGTAAAATATTTATAACACATGCATCTTGCTGAATATTCAAAGAAGCTCCATTCGCATTTCAGGTGTCAAATTCAAACTAATAATAAATTATATACTTAGAGATATTTAATATGTTAGCAAAAAAGATAATCATGATAGTCTAACATTTACCTTAGTTCTAACTGGAAGTGTATTTCTCGTTCTTCTATTGGAGATACAATAGTACCATGCCTGCAATGGATTAAATTTTAGAATGGTATATAACTAATAATTACTACTTATGTAAATGCAACTTACTTTCATTCGAGAAGGAATTTGACCTTGTTGAATTGGATCAATTTTTACGACAATGGCATTGTGAACACGATCTAGACAAAGCCAATAATCATGCACTTTTTCTGTAACATGATCTATAGTCTCAGAATATAAAACTTCAACAATGAGATTTAGCTAAGGACAAGTTTAAAATAAAAAGTATAATATGAAAACCCCAAGCTTTAAGGAGCTCAAAACAAATGAAAAAATAAAAGATACCTTTCCATTGCTTTCATTGGAAGAAGTTACTGCCAGTTTTTTAGGACGAAATGAGTCATCAGCTTCCTTTGTGGAAATGTCAACATAAGCTCCTTAAGCAATTAAAATTAGTATGATACCATAGGCATAAATAAAAAAGGGCTAATAAATCAATGCTTATGGGTAGATTCATAACTATAAATCTTTGTATTAGTCCATTTCGCAGAAAGGCAATTCTCAATTATTTCAGAATTGATTACCTTAATACATACTTTGTATAGCTCTGACGGGAGTTCATAGATTATTACTTTTCCATTAGACCATTCCAAACATTTGTGAATGTTAAATTTATCTACACGTTCTTCATAATCCTCTAAGGTGATGCCCTTAGCAAGTACATATAGTAGACTTAATATAACAATTTATATCAGTAACTGGCTCAAAAAATATCAACATTAAACAAGTAAACTTACGTTACTTTATCCCATTTTGCTTTTTCATTAAATTCTTCCTTATCTCATCACAAGTTTCGATAATAGTTACAGTCTGACATTCTTTTTGGAACTGCACTATTTCTATCCCTAAGAATATATCTGAAAAGTTAGCAAAAAGGTAAGTTGTAACAATTGCACATATCTACTTACGAACTTGTACTTATTGATCTTGTTGAACTGACGCTAATAAAACTGGTATAACTGATATTTGCAGTACCGGTATAAAGAAAGAAAGTTTGTATCATCGCATGAGCAATAAACATAATATATATGAAATCAGTTATCTAGGATTTTATTCGTGATTATTGATCCAATGATTTTGCTAAAATTACCGTCTATTCTTCATATCTGTTCTAGAGTCACAAGATATCCAAGTTATTCCTTGGTATTCGTTTAAAGTAAACTTAATGAGATTATAATAGTATCGAGAAATTTTGTTTTATTTGCACAAGACGTGTGGTAAAAAAATAAAACTCACTAACTAGCATATTACTCTATTTTATATGATATATAACAGTTTAAAAATTGAATCTTTAATGTGATCGCATCACGAAAATCAGATCTCTTCTTTTTTATTAATAATAATTTACATAATTTATTGAGTTTCAAAAATAAATATTGGGTAAAAGTGATTTTTATAAGACAAAAACTTTATAGTGTGATTTATTAACAGAAATACTATACTATTACCCAATCTCTTCTTAGCTGACTTTTTTTTTCAAAAATATTTTCATCTAAGTTATCATGAACCTAAAGTTAAGATTGACAATATCCCCATTTTATTTCCTTAATATAAAAAACCTAAACTCAATTACCTTAATAAATTTGTGAAAAGATATAAACACCTACTTACACGTTATCATCATAAGGAATAATATGAAAATTATCAAAAATCTCATCACTCATTATAAGCTGGTATTGTCTAGCTTCATTATAACCTATTTTTTTATTGACACTCAGAAAAACATAAAAAAACTGTGTTAATTAATGTATTAAGACATTTCATATAGACAACAAAATAAATTGATGGGAGTCACATCAAGCCAAGCCAGTTATGCAAAGATGACTTGCCAGTTAAACTGGCTTCTGACAGTTCATCTGTCGCAGTCACCCTTCATTCTCAACCAAATTGTGGTTTATAGAGTTCATAAAGTATTGATCACTTGTTAAAAAAAGTTTAGCTTGAACAAATGCAGTTCACAATCACATTATTTGAACAAATTACGCACTGACATTACGTATTTGCGTAATTTAGATAAGATCTCTAGTAGGATGTTTAATCTCAAAATATGTATATGCTAATAAATAAAAATGTGCGATAATATGTGTTCATAATTCTAGTAAAAATTATGTTTAAATTTTTAAATTTTAGGTAAAATTATTAAAAGTAAAAATGATTCGAAAAAAAAATCAACTTGTTTATTTTATTATAATATAAAAAATTAAGCATTAAAATAGATTTTCAGAAAGGCGCATTCTTCTTTCACTTAAAATATTTTTATAATTAGAAAAACTGCGCTCTATATCTACTCAGCTACTGGTAACCAAATATAAATCAATGATATTTTTTGATAAATTTGGTATTATTAAACTTTTTTATTTCTAATATTTATCTAAATCCGATTCTTCTTCTTCAATTACTTTTTCTAATCTACTGTAAATACTCCATTTATCTAATAAACATTTGTAGGATTTTGAAATTCAATTATATTAGTATATAATAAAATATTTTGTCTATTAATTTGTGTATGAATAAACTGGGGATCAAAACATTGAATATCTCTAAATAAAGGTAATGCCAAATAATGTTATATGTTTATTTCATTTGTTTAATGCAATTTAATATACTTGTTTAAAATAAGGTTTTAATTCCAAAGGATTAACATTATTATAATTACATTGTGTAATTATTTCAAATGAAATTAGTAGATCATTTGCATCCATATTCTAATACAAGCTTGAGTTTGATTCACACGATTGGCAATAAAAGCTGCTAAAGATTTATTTCTAATTTTAAAAAATTTCAAATTAAAAACAAACTAAATAAAATAAAATTAATTAATAATTTAATTTAATGTTATATAATTCAATAATTAATTTAAAATTCATTTATTAGTTTGTATTAAATTAATAAAAAGAGCTATAATTTTAAAAATTAAAAACTGTTATCTAATTTTGAAATGTCTTTGCTAAATCACAAACTGCTTTACTATTATTATCCAATTTTTCTTCTTTAATAAAAAATAATAAAATATATAGAATATAATCACTAAGCCAAAATACAAATTTAAACCAACTATACCCATATGTTTTTACTAGTAATAATGATAAAGTAATGTTAGAATTAGAATTTTCTACTAAAATTTCAAAAAAGAAAGGTAAAGAAGGATTATTAATAGAATTTGTAGAAAGAATAGCTAATCAATCTTCTTTTTTTTGTTAAATTATGAATGAAACTACTTTTAATATTTCAAGTAATGGTATTAAGGAATTAAAAAAAGAAAAATTTATTCACATTCTTTAATTAAATTCATAATATGTATAAGACAATATTATGTTTCATTTATGGCATAATTGGTGATAAATTATTAAATATTTTAACTATATAACTAGCATTATTAGTAATAAAAAATAATATATTATTAAAAGAAATTTGATATTTTTAAAGTGAAAATAAAATTATTTGTGATATTATTGTATTATTTGCTATAATAACATATTCTATAGCAACTAATTTTATTTAATTTTTAAAAGTAAAATTACATTAACTGCTACCCTTTTACAAGTATTAGTAAGTTTATCTACAATAATACATATTTTTCATTTTTTAATAACATATTTAATTTTTCAATTTCTTAATTATAGACTTTTAATAAAAATTTTTTACATAGTTAATTAGTATCTACAATTATTCCACTTAATAAAATTATAATAATTAATTAATAATAATAATAAAATAAAAAAAAATTAATAATCAATGATAAAACATATTATTTTTATAAAATTTATAAAAAAAAGTCTTAATTTATTAACTTTTTAATAAAATATCAACTGTAGTAAAGGCTTTAAATAATTCTAAATTAAGTTTGTCTCTTTTAGCAAATGTATGTTTAAAGGTTTCAAGTATGAATTGTTATCACAGTATATTATTTCTTTATTCTATTAAAGATTTATAATTTTTATGTTTATTTGTTTTCAAATATTGATCAACTTTTGATTTATTTTTATATTTAATTATAATATTGCAAAATTTACAAACATAATAATATAGTAGTCATCTTTATAGTTTTATATAGAATTAACCCTTTTGATTGCTATTATTATTGTAAAAAAAGTGATAATAATCAATAATATTTTTTATGATTAAATTTATGATTATAATCAACTAATCATATTTATTGCAAAATATGTACATGCATATTTTATATGATTTTCTATAAAATATATAATACATAACATATGTGAAAAAATTCTTAAATATGTGCATATATTTACATTATATATTTTTGAATATTCTAATCTTTAGTAATGAATTTTACAAAATCTGCTTTACTTTCTGTAACTTATAATCATTATTTTTGCAGATATTTTGATAAAACAAAAATAAAATTTTATTAATTTATTACAAAAAAATTAATCGCTATCATATTTAATTACTTCTAAAAGATTTTGATTTATTATTATCTAAAATATTTAAAATGATAAACTTCTTTCTAAACTATAATTGAATATAGGTAATCAAATATAATTAAGTGTAATTTTTAAAAGAATTGATAATTTATTTTCAAGATTCATGTAATATTCTTCTAAATTAATTTTATAACTAAATTTTCCAATTTTTTTTACAATAAATTGCCATTCATAAAGTAATTTAATAGAGAAATTTACTAATTGTATAATAAAATTAAAATAACACAAATTTTTTCTTTTTATAAAACATATTTAGGTTTAAAAATTTGAGCAGCTTGAAAAAGAGAATGTAAGGATATAAAGGAATACAAACTTCAGCGAAAGTAATAACACTCAGTTTTTTAATAATTTGTGCATAATTTTATAATAAAAAATTAAAAAAAATTTTATTTTCTGAAAGACCGACTAAAATTACATATATTTTATTAATTAATTAATATTTAATATAGCCTCCTTCTGTATTATTACATGCTTTAATGCGATTTAACATACTATTAATGTAGTTAACTATTGCGATGTTTTCAATATCATCCCATTTCTTTCTAATTAAATTTAAAAAAATTTCTTTTGAGATTTTTTTCCTTTGTGCCACTATTCTTTTGACCTCTTTCTCAATATTTTTCTTTAAACATTCTCAATAGGATTAAGATCAGGGCTATAGGAAGGTCAAGAAAAAACTCAACCTGAAAGGTGAGTTTTCAAGATACCTTGAACATCACAGAAAATATATTTCAGATTATTATCTTGCTAAAAGACCTAACAGTTACTATGTATTATACTTACATTATCATATAAATGTTTATTCAAAATTTAGTGGTATAAATGACGATCTAAATTTGTAGTAAACATATACAGTCAACTCTTATTATAACGAACTCTATGTCTTAGATCTCAACTTTACTATAAGGTTATAGTGAAGATTTTAAGAGATTTGATTAGCCAATTCGCTATAACAAGAGTATTTTTATTATATTTGTTCAAAAAATTCGTTATATCAAGAGTTTGCTATATCAAGAGTTGACTGTATATGTTAATTTTCTCTTAATGCTGATTACATCCTAAACATAAATTTTAAATGGGTATTTTATCATCAGAGCAATAGGTTTCTTATTATGTAACCATGTTAAAAGAGTATTATAGAATATTTGAAATGTAGTTTCATCAGAGAATACTACCTTTTTCTAATTATAATCCCTACCAAAAATAATAGCGATCAATTTTTATAACTTAACACATGCAATTTATTAATAAATCCAATTAAAATTTTTTTAAATAAAATATGAATATCATAGTTGCAATTTTTATTAATTAATTAGTATTTAGTATGCACTCCTTCTGTATCAATACATACTATAATTCAATTTGGTATATTATTGATGCAGTTAACTATTATATTATCATCAAAATCATTCCATTCTTCTTGAATTATATTATAAAAAATTTCAATTGATATTTTTTTTTTCTGCGCTACTATTTTCTTAATTTTTATCTCAACTTTTCTTTTTAAAATAGCCTAAATATTTTCAATTAGATTAAGATCTAGACTATAAGATGACTATAGAAGAACTCAACC